GTTAACAGGCTAAAGTATTATCCTAATTTTTAACAAAATTTCATTGTTTGTATCTTCTTGAAATGCAAGTGAAAAAAACACATACGGGCTGAAAGAATTTCTTAAATTATTGTATTCTAAAATATTTTGGGGGTGGGGAAAGACTTGTCATTTTCAAACAGATATATCATGAATATTCAATGTATTTCCTAAAGAAATAATTTAATAAGAATCACAGAAAACTTCAATATTTATAAAATGATCACTGCTGATTTGTACATTTGAAATGGTATTATTCAAAAGGTCTCAAGTTTAAAATGCAACTTGAAACCAATAACATATATGCATATTTAAAAGAAACTCATAATCTCTTCTGTACACTAAGAGTCTGAATTCATTGCCCAGTAGCTTAAGAAATTATCTCTTTCTCTTGCCAAGATGTCATTTGTGATTTTAAATTTCAAAAATATCAACTATGATATACATTAATTAAAATTATTCACTCAAGTTGAGCTAATATATGCCATCTATCTTGCATTAAAAACAAACCACTTAAACTTTTAATTAAATAAGCCCACAACTTAATTTACCCTCTTGCATATGTACATTTTCAGCTATTCCACTCTTTAGTTCTTGCCAGCAAGCCCCCCACCTGGAAAACAAACTAACCAAAACAACAACAACAAAAAAATACCCACAAAACAAAAACCTACACAATATTTAAAACATTTAGAAAAAGGGTATGCTAGCTAAGAAGTTCTACTCAATTCACTACTAGAAAACTGCTCACTATACAACTTATAAAAGACCATATATTTCTGTTACTGGCTACCAATACCAAAAAAATACTCCAAAATATACATTAGCCAAGGAAGTTGAGAGTAGCAAGTAGAAAAATAAACAACACACAAGCAAAAATGACGCAAGGTTCAAATTCTCAGAATAAGAACTAGCCTCAAGATTTCAAACTTATACTTAGTTCACCTCTTCATGCTAAATCAAACCCTACTGACTTCCTCCTTAATCACTAGTTTGTGCCACACAGTCCCAGTAGTGAAATGTGCTACTACTTCCTGCAAGATAGAGCTTTATAGGTGGTCAATTTTCTCCTTTCATTTCCATTGAGAACTAAATCAACATCAATAAGAACAGTGAGAATTCTGCAGTAAAGTGAAACTTAGGAGAGGATTTAAATAATTCCAGTAGCTATTTATCTGCTTTTCAGTGTAATAGAGAAATAATACTACATGATTGTACACTAAAAATACTTAGGTTTCTTATCTTTGTTATTCTGGGTCAGGTGTATATTCCTTAAATTTATATGACACCTCTAAAGAAGATATTTTGCCTAACAGAAGCTTTTGCAATAATAAGATAGACAACAAAGAATTAGTTTCCAAGAAAAGTTGGCTTCATTTCAGGGACTTTATATCCCTTTTCCACACCTGGGTTTCGGATTTGCAAAAGGCAAATCAATCTTTTTCCCCTCCTATTTTAAGTTCATTCCAAGTACATTTGAAACTACAGATCTTTAATAGTATTAGAATTACTTAAATATGTACAATTAACTGTTAAAAATCTGAATTCTCAGTGTAGAAAAATGATTAAAATAAGGTAAGCATGTTTAAATTTTTGAGGAAATTCAGTGTTTTAAAGTATGAGAAGTACCTAATTTAGGACCCTGAAGAGATGGACTGTCATAGACTCATTGTCACAGCATATTTAAACTATCATAAAGTTACTGTCATACTATTTGGTATTTTTTATAAGCTGTGTTATCATAATGGAAAAGACAAAGGATTTTTCTTCTTATGACTACATGCAACTCTTCATTCTGGCCCTTATTCTACTATTGCCTTCTCAAGTAGGTGGATAATGTAAGCAGATGAATTTGTCAAAAGCTTAAAACAGAAACAAAAATCAAAACCAAAAACCTCAGTAACTAACTAGCTTAAATTAAAATCTGGAGCACCCAAAGGACAAAAGTCATGCATTGTGAGGCAGCAGACCACAGAGTCGGCACAGAGTCAGAATGAACAAACACTTGTACAACCAGGGTTTATCACCACTAACTTGCGTAAACATACGGTCACTGAAGAATTTATTTAAAATGCAGGCTGCATCTTGGTTCTATTTTCTAGTTTAGTATTTTTTAAAATGTATTTTGTCAAAGCAGTTGAAATCAGTGTCTTTTTCAATCTTATTTTATTTAACAAAAATTGCCTTTTGGGTGAAAAATATTATAAAAGCTTCATTTTAAAAATCCAAGGCTTTCAAAAATTAAAAATTTCTTTTGCCTAGAACATAAAAATAATATACTACACTGAAGAAAATGATCTAAGATTTTTATTTTGTTTCTTTAAAATTTCTTCCTTTTTCTCAATGTGTTATACTGGTCAAAATTCATTTGTGGACTTAATAATAAAAAGAGATTGCTGAAATTGATGACAAAGATTAAATTACAATTTAAGATACATAGCATCATTACATTTCCACAGTAACAACAAAAACAGTACTACTTGTATAACTACAAAATTGTTTCAACTGTATTTTTACCTTGGTGCAATCAAACTGATGTCTAGTTATACAACAAGAAATAATAAGATGTACTTAGGTATCAACTGTGGATTGCAATGCTGTAAATAAGTGCACCTTTCCTAGTCCTGAAACTACCCCGCCCCACAGTGATCCATAAACTGAAGGGGAAAAGTCAGCACTAGGCCTACACAGGTAGATCCTCATTCTTTTTCTCCATATTCTTATCCTAAGTTGTGCAAAATAAAATAGCCCATGTGGACCTACCTACTAACAGAAAAATATTAGAAACAACTGTTTTTATTTTTTCTTGGCAACTAGTATTTCAAAATATTACTTAAAAATAACTTTCAAAAAGAAGAAATCAAACTCTTGCCAAGAAATACATAAGAATATCTGTCTTTGGAAAAATATTTTTGGAATATTTTTCAAATGACAGAAAGTGGTAGGAAAAGGATTTACTGTTTTCAGGTCCTTGAAGCTTAAAATTTATTCGATAATCTAAATACTATGCCACAGAGAACAGTTTCAGCCAACTGTGGCACACCATGGCACATTTACAGAATTTTAAATATTTCTTTTAATAATTGATGTAGTCATTTTGAATCATTCTGCATAGGATATCAGGTGTGAGCAGATTGCATTAACGCTGCTTAAACATTTCAACTTGTCAGTATGGCCAACTCGATTTCGGAAATATTTGCAGTATTTTCCCATCGAAACAGTAATAAAGGCAAAATAAATATATGCCACTACTTTATAATCACCGAACATTAATGAATATTTTATGTCTTTTTAAATCTCCCTGTTTAATTTAAAAGGGTGAAATTAAGTCTCCTCCCTGCAATATGCCAATTATCTGTAAATCAAACAATAACTTGGCCATTATGCTCCTTTTTGTTAATATAAGAGAAGCTATTTGAAAACACTGAATGGTATTTTTAGGCCATCAGCTTAATAGTCCTTTCTGCCCTCTTGTGGGAGAACGTTGAAACACACCCGAGATATAGAAAGTTTTTCAGAAAAGGAAAATTTTAGCTATGAAAATCTCAAAGAGAAAGAAAAATTACTCTTTTTACTCTTCAGACGTTGTATTTTTCTTCAATTCAAAAAAGTAAATCAACAAAAGTATGAAATTTACCTCTTACTTTGTATTACTGATTAAATTGGATTTATTTTGGAACCTAATGTCTTTGCTAAATTAAACTACATATATAATTTGGATATTACTATTATATTTACCCTGATAGAGCCATAGTAAAATTTTTTGTAATGTAAAAACAAAAGTGATTTTTTTCAGAAATTTAAATTTTAAATTTAAAGCACAACATACAAATTATAAAGATTAAAAATAAAATGGCAATATATGCATACTAAAATCCTGAAAAAATTCAAATAAACCAAAACAACAACTCAATTTAGGAGTCAGGCAAAATGTTAAAGGTTCTAGTTATCAATCAATAAACTATGCATGTAACCAATTAAGAAAATAAAGCAGAGAATTATTTATGCCAAAGTCAAAAGATGAAATTCATTGACAAAACGTAAGATATGGAAACCATTAATTATCTAGCCATTACTGAGACAATTCATATACTTCTAAAAAAAAATCACTAGGGTGAGAATAACTTATTCTTTCAAGATGACATTAGTAATAATTTTAAGCAGTGTAGTCTAGGAGAAAATTATGAAGTAATCCACAATTAATAATCCATAATTACTTCTCTTTAAAAATTAGCAGATAAAATATGATTTTTGCCTCATAAGTTATGTGGAATAATATAACACAGTAACTATATCAGTGTTTCTAAATACACAAGTCCTGTCATGGCCTTAAATGTTTTTCCCTCTATGGAGATAAATTATTGGCTCTTAGGTGGGTGGAGCCAAAGGCATACTTAGGAGGCGCTGCTTGTCTCTTGGGAGAAGTTCTATTTGGAAACAGTGGCCCTTCTTGGACAATCTGAAGACAACACTGATAAACAGATTCTACTCAGATATTCAGAGCTGAATGGGAGTCTCCAACAACATGATACAAGTACTCTCCAAAGCTAAGAGTGAGCTGCTTAAAAAAAGCTTCCTCAAATTCCTTTCAGAAACAGAAGAGTGCACAATACAAATAATATATCTGAGGGTGACTTTTAAAATAAAATATAAAGATCTTTCAAAATGAATGTTGCCAACACTTCTAAATTATTTTGGATAAGTACCCTGAAACTATGAAATATATATGATGGGTTATGCTTAAACCAGGTTTTAGTACACTAGTTTAACAATTACCAAGAGCTCCCATTTACATCTACCTTTCTAGGTCAAGTCATTTAGTGTGTCTACAGTAATCATTGATGCTCCAGTTAATTAAAATTAAGAACTCAATAATGAAACATAAAGAGAGTTTCCAACCAGAAGAGATAAGCCCTCTTTAACAGGGTCAACATTAGCTATAATGAGCTACCTTTATTCCTTAGCTGTGAGACATAACTCACCTCTTGAATGGTACTGCTTCCTGAGAAGTTCAGGTTGTACTCCCGCTGGACTTCTCGGTGGGTGATGATCAGCATGAAGTTTTGATTTAATGACTCCTGCAGGGCACTGAAAGGGTTGAAAGAAAAACAAGAAACTCAGAGATGAACAAGTTCTAGCTTGCTTTACAGCTAGCTGCAAAAACCCCAGGAGTACCCTAACCTCCACACAGGCATGTCCGGGCCCAATGTTATCATCTTTGCAGCTCGTAAAGGCAAGAGAGCATGCTGAGAACAACCAAGGGGAGCTAACCTGTTAACTCCTTCTCAACCAAGCTGTTTTCAACTTCAACCTTAAATACTCTGCATATATACAACTTTCTACAAGTCATATGTTATTACCTATAGTACATACATATTTCCTCCAAAAGAACCACCACTTTTATCAATTCAAATATGCTATTAAAATGTGTACTCTGATTCAATTATAAGTGAAATAGCTGTTCTAGAAGAAGCATGAAACTATTGTTTATACTCATGAATAGTGTACAAGAATAGAAATACAGTTTTAGCCAAAATTTAGGAGATCATAAAAATTTACAGAACTTTCACTGTTAAACCACAACTCCTTCAAAATAACAGTGCTTTCACTTAGGACTCAGCAATATATAGAATTCAGAAGTTGGAGAATTCAGACCAACATATTTTAAACTCTAGGCCAAAACTTCAAAAATGTTAGAAATGCATCAGAACCACAATGAATATATGAAAATAACCATATAAATTAAGGAATATGCCATGATTCTATTGTTGAGTCAGTATTAAGAAGTACTACTTTTATCAATAATAAAAATAAAAATCTATCACTAATGTGTCTGAATAACCCATATTCCTGCCTCAAAGTGTAATTTAGACATGCCTATAGTATCAGGGAAATATCTGGGGTGTACTAAATCAATCCACTTTTGCCAATCTATAACTATGTGATAAACATACATGCAACAAAAGATTAAAATCAGCAAAATTGTCCTACTGTCTTCATAGAGTTAATTACAGACTAAAAATATGTATGTATCATGAGCTATTATTGATCAAAATCAAAGCAAATCATACTCGATTAAAACCAACTCTTCTGAGGCCAGGAACTTTGTTGTTGCATCCTTAAGCTTTAGGCATACGCCAGGTACACTGCATATTTACTGAATAACGAACAAACTGTGAATTACCAGGTGAGAATCTTATTCATCTTTGTATCTCACACAGCAACGTTGCCTCCTTGAAAAACTATCACTGGAGTTAAGACTTTGATTCATTTATTTATCAACATTAACTCAATGCCCTGCATTATTTCAGATGCTAAGGAAACCAATTCAAACAAAAATGCATGGTTCTGCTCCATGAAAAACTCACAGTCTAATCGACAAATACATAAATGATTATAGTATAATATAATAAGTACTGAGAAACTGAAAGAAAAGTACAATGAAAACAAAGAAGGAAAGCGGGGTGTGGTGGCTCACACCTGTAATCCCAGCACTAATGAGGCTGAGGCACAAGGATCGCTCTGAGATTGAGGCCAGCCTGAGCTAACAAAGTGAGTTCAAGGCCAGCCTGAACTGCACAGTGAGACCCTGTCTCAAAAAGACAAAAGAAAGAGAAGAAAATGTGTAACAAGTCAGGCGAAAGCTTCAGTGAAATTGAAATATGAAGGAGGAGGACCTTAAGAGTTTGTCACTTAGAAGAAATGAGTTTTTAATTTTGTTTGAGGGAATAAAGAAGGGTAGAACTTTTTTCACAAGAAAGTAAGTGGAAGGACATGTTCATTCACCTACTGGGCACCTACCTATATGTTCATGACACTATTACAGTTGCTAGGTAAACTGCAATAGAAAAACATAGTCCCTGCAAAAGAAAAACAGTCCCTGCTTCATGAAACTTACATGCTAATAAAGGAGACAAAGATCAAGTAAGTGAATAAAAACTCTTAAGAGAATTTAAATACTGTGAAGAAAATAAAACAGGATTGATTATAACATACAAGGTAACGGAGGATCAAGGGAATTACTTTCAACACAGTTGAAGCTACTGTGATGATAAAGAGATCATGAGTTCAATCATATGGGTCCTCCTAGTAATTGTGAAGGAAAATCACTGGAGGATTTTACAAAGGAAACCAGTAAGCGCTGACAGATTTCACATTTATACAAGATTACCCTGGCTGCTCTGGCTACATTGAAAAAAGACTGGAAAAAGGAGAGAGGAGGAGAAGACTCAATGGGAGACAAGTTCAAAAGGAATGATGGCAGCTTGGACTAGGATGTTAGAGGTACCGATGGTGAGAAGTTGTAAACTTCAGAATTCATTTAAGAGGTAGAAGCTAGACAGTTTACTGCTGGAATATGAGAAAAAAATATATCCCCAAGGTTTCTGGCCTCAGCAAACAAGAGAACAGAATTTAATATAACAAGGAAACCTCAGGGAGGAAATTGAGAGTAAAGTCTTAAATATATTAAGTTGAAATGTTTATTAGATATCTAAAAAGAAATGTCATATACAGTTGAACACAAGAGTCAAAGGATAAGTAAGAAAACTCAGAGCAGGAGAGTCAAAAGCAGGCAGGATTTAAGACTTTGTGACCAAAACAAATCACTTAGGGAAATACCTTACCCAGAGAAAAGCGGAGAGGCCAAGGTGGAGGTTAGGGCACTCAAATCATTTGAAATCAAGTAAAGAGGAAGGAGTTGCTTTAAGGGAGACTGACAGTCAGAGATAAGAGAAAAAATTTTAAAGTCTAGTATAAGTACCAGAAAAAAATAACTGTTTTGATTAGGAGGGCTGGAACAATTATGCCAAAAGCTACTGAGATCTTAAGTGCTGTGAGGCCTCAGTGGCTGAGGGCTTGCTGGCATGTGTGACACCCGGGGGATTCAATCCTTGGTGCAGGGGGAGATAAGTAAGGCCAGAAAAATGACCATGTTCAGCCAACAAGAAAAAGTTCAATGTGACTATAATAAAGGGTATGGGAGGAAAGGGTAGAGGGAAAGATGGCTCAAATAACAGGCCCACTCAGTGCCCAAAATATCTGAGTGAAATAAATGTGTGGTCAAAACGACGCATAACAGAAAGCCTGCTCAAACTGTCATGGCCCTTCACAGACATCTCACAACTAATCTCTGAACTTAGGCTTTTGTTCTACAGCTAGGAGGACTTCCTCAAATGTCAAAAAAATCACATCATACTTCTATTTGTTTGTATGTTCTCATCCTCCTTTCCTTTACTCCCCTACACACACCAAACAGCTTTCAGATCATCATTTAGGCCAAACATGTGTATTTACTCCTCATCCTCTCCTCTGAATTTCTACACTACATACTTTATTTATCACTTCATTAAAGTATGTCTTATATGAGTGTCTTTGTTTCAAGTGTGGAAGTCTTAAATCCAAGACTTTTTGAGGGCAACTATGTTATTATACATTAGTGTAACCACTGTCAATTAGCATACTAAAATGTGATTCAATTTAATCCTTTTAAGATTTAAGGAATAGTTCTGCATATTACAAAGTGCAGATAACTAGTGATTCTCTTCTTCTCAGCCTGCCCAAAGTATTATATTACTCATAGAAGTGTTGCTCAGAAAGGTTAAGTAATTGCCCAAGCCCGTGAAACTATAAAGAGAATGGAACATAGTTTGTAACTTACATTTAATTCTATGCCCTTTAAATCCAAGCTTCCTATTTCCCACAAAGCTGGGCTGCTTGGGAATATGAAGATGAACAAGATACTTGGCTGCTAGAAGTTCATAATTAATTTGTTCATTCTACAATTATCTGACTCATATTATTTAGAATAATACAGGAAAAAAGACACAATCACTGACCTCAAGATAAACTATTCAGATGTTCAAATAATCAGATGTGGAGAAGGGAGAGCCCTGCAAAGTACTACAAAGAAGAATGAACAGTATTTTAATAATCAGTTATATGGAGGATGATTTCAGACAGATGGCTTGAACAGAAATGGAGACTGGGGAATACAAGGAAAGGCACAGGAAGGGTGAAGAAATGTAATAAACTTAAGAAAGGTTTGCATTAGAGGAAAATCTGGAAAATATGAAGGACCTACATATTATGAAAAGCTTCAAATGGCAGACTAAAGATCTCAGTTCCAGAAAACTTAATTATTATATAGGTCCACCTTTATCTTTACATATGCATCCATGCATATGTCTAATATTCTTAGCGCTTGCTTGCTTTCGCGCAGTTCCTCAGATAGGTTTGTTCTTGACTGGCAGATTTGTCCTATAACTTTGTGGACTGACTTGCTTAGATCACCATCAACTGCCAGACTCTATCAGAAGAACAAAAATTTAGTCTAGTTCTTGAATTCCTATATAGCTGTGAGGGTGATATATTGGAGAGACAAGTTAGAGAGCTGAGAGAAATGTGGAGAGGAGGCTTAAAATGCACAGGACTCAAAGAGCCAGAGCTGAATTCCAAAACTACTAGGGCTAGTTGCTTGACCTTGACAAGTAAACCATTCAACAATATTTATTGAATGTTTACCATATACAAGGCCCTATTTTAAGCACTAAGCTACTCTAAATTGTTTCCTTTTTAGGAAAAAGATAATAATTCTTCCTTTATAGTTATAATAAATAAAAAGCCAAGAGGGAATTTTTACTGCATATGGAGGGTGTTTTTTGTTTTGTTTTGTTTTGTTTTTTTCTTATAAAATGACCCATTATAGCTTACTGAAAATAGAGCAATTTTGAGGGGTATCCATATTTTTAAAATCTTATACTGACAATGAAACACCAACAAAAAGATCTATAGCACTTTTGTGGTGGAAGTTTATACAGGGCCAAATTTTGTTTATCACTGGACAAAACCGTATATTGTGTCTAATTTATCCAGACTAACGGTATTCTTTTGCTATAGGTCTTATTAGGGGTTGATCTACCACATACATGATCCTAGTGAGACTGAGTTGTTTGGAGGAACAAATACGGGTATTATCTTCACTTCAGATTCTACCCTGATTCATTCACTTAGTTATTAACAATAGCTAGCCCTAAACAACAATGGTTAGTCCTAAATAGCATGTATCAGGCATTAAGAGCTTCATGTCA